TGAAAGTTTCGAGTCCTTAAAGAAGCAGGAGGGCATATAATCTTTTTAATTTGTAGTGCCTATGATACAAGTTATATCGAGGAAGGAAATCTCAGGTTATATATACAGACTGGATTTTCCAGCTAAGAGATTGTGGACTGCATATTAAACATTTGTTTCCGGTTTTTGTAGTGCAGGTAGAGATTTAATTAATTTGTGCACTGCTAGCTGTTTTTTTTTTTTTTTGCAGTGGTACTGGATGTGCAGGTTGATGAGAAATAGTACTTTGCTCTGATCATGAGATTCATGATCAGGTGAGATACTTAAAAGCATGCAGACTGAAGTTATTTTTGGCAAGAAAGTTTGATAGTGTACATAAATGGCCGTTTTATGTATAAGGCCGAGGTTTTAAGGGTTAATTTGGTAGTGGTAGTTTGTGGTTACAGTAATGATATATAGAAATTATGCAGCTGATTTGCATTGTATGCGGGAGGGTTCTAGACTGTAGGAGGAGGAGATCTTGTCTGGAGTTGGGTTCGGTCGACCGCCGCGGTCGATCGCGTCAACCCTGTAATGGATTTTGGTCTCGAGAATCGGTTTGGTCGACTGGCGTGGTCGACTGTGAGCACCCTATAGGATTTTTGGGTTCTGTTGTTTGGACGCAGTCGACTGTGGCAATCGACTGCGATACCTACGCAGTCGACCGCCACGGTCGACTGGTAGCGGGTTTGCAGTTGGGTTAGTTATGTTAGCCCTTATGTTTTGATGATGTTTTACAACCACCATTATCGGTACTAATGGCTTATTGAGTACAAATGTAGTGAATTCATATATCAAGCTTATTAGTGCCACAAATGGAGGATTGGATGGAATATACGCTACAACGATGATATCCAAAGGAGGAGGAGGCATAATGATGAAGCAATGTTATTTCAAGAACAACAAATTCATATAGAAGCTTCATCCAACTCAAGCTATATCAAGACTCAAGAATTGTATTCTATGTGAGGATATTAGCTAGTTTTTATTTTCTCTCTAATGCTAGAATGTAGGCAAAGAATTATCGATTTCACTTGAAGCTATTGGGATATCACACACACACATTTTCATACTTATGTTTTTAAGCGTTTTTTTATAAAATGCTATTTTTCACAAGTATGAGAACCTATTTGCAAAATCCCTTTTCTAAACAATTTGTTTTTAATATTAAAAACATGGGAAAATGTGTCCAGGCCCCAAAAGCAGAAACTTCATGTGACAAGGCCCCTCATAATTTTTCCCATGTGGATCAGCCCCTTGAAGTGTGACACTTTGTACTGCAGCCCCTTTTTATCAATTATCACATGCCAGCTAAGCTAAAATTCTCAAACTATCATTATCATCTCTCCTCAATCTCTCTGACCCAGCACTCACATCATCTCTCTCTCTCTCTCTCATCTCCTCTCTCTCTCTCTCTCTCTCTCTCTCCTCTCTCTCTCTCTCACCTCTCTCTAAAACTAAGAGCTTTATTAAGCTCGTCGTCCTGGCCGAGACGCACAGAGCATTAATCTATTAGCTAGAAGAAGAAAAGAAAAAAAAGAAAAAAAAGAAAGGCAAAGAGAAGTATAGTAGAAGGGGAATGAAGACAAATGCCGTAATTAAGAAAGAACGAAAATGTGTATTAATGTATCTCTATGAATGAAATTGACACGGTGCCGCCGAGCGATATTCGAAGCAATATAACGAGAGGTAGAAAATGAGCCCAAAATGAAAGGAAGATACTGTGTGATAGACAATATAAAGGGCTACACACCGGCGCAGACGGTTGTGAAAACGGAGACCGGAGGTGGCCGTAAAACACGCGTGAAGTCGGCACGACGCTATTGTTTTCTGCTCGCTGCTGCCGTCGAGCGATGTTTCGGATGTTACCGAGAGAGATAAAGAATGAGTTAGAGCGTGATACAAATTGAAGGTGATAGGCAACATGTAGGGCTACTCACCAAAGAAGAAATCGGCGGAAACGGAGATTGGTGGCGATCAGAAAGTGCGTGTGAAGTCGGCACAAAACTATAATTTTCTGCAGTACATTTCTCGCCGTTCGGATTTGTTCTTCGCTGTTCGGAGATTTTTGCCGCTGTCCGGGCTTACCAGAGGTAGGAGGAGGTCCCCGGGATCGTCGGGGTGTCTCGATGGGCTCCGTCGGAGGTAGGAGGAGCTTTTCTCCGTTCCCAAGAGCCTAGAACTAAGATGAATTAGAGCTAGAACTAGAAAGATAGAAGCTAGAACTGGGGGTATACAAGCTAAAACTAGGGGAATAGAAGCTAGAACTAACGTAGAATAAAGAACTAGCAAGTGTGTATGTATAAAACCAATTTGGGCTTAGAACTAGCAAGATAGAAGCTAGAACTGGGGGTATACAAGTTAGAACTAGGGGAACAGAAGCTAGAACTAACGTAGAATAAAGAACTAGCAAGTATGCATGTAAAAAACCCTTGTTGGGTTTAGAACTAGCAAGATAGAAGCTAGAACTGTGGGTATACAAGCTAGAACTAGGGTAATAGAAGCTAGAACTAACATAGAATAAAGAACTAGCAAGTGTGCATGTAAAAAACCCTTGTTGGGTTTAGAACTAGCAAGATAGAAGCTAGAACTGGAGATATACAAGCTAGAACTAGGGGAATAGAAACTAGAACTAACGTAGAATAAAGAACTAGCAAGTGTACATGTAAAAAACCCTTGATGGGTTTACATGTACTTTTGCTAGTTCTTTATTCTACGTTAGTTCTAGCTTCTATTCCCCTAGTTCTAGCTTGTATACCTCCAGTTCTAGCTTCTATCTTGCTAGTTCTAAACCCAACAAGGGTTTTGTACATGCACACTTGCTCGTTTTTTATTCTACGTTAGTTCTACCTTCTATTCCCCTAGTTCTAGCTTGTATACCCCCAGTTCTAGCTTCTATTTTTCTAGTTCTAAACTCAACAAGGGTTTTTTACATGCACACTTGCTAGTTCTTTATTCTACGTTAGTTCTAGCTTCTATTCCCCTAGTTCTAGCTTGTATACCCCCAGTTCTAGCTTCTATCTTGCTAGTTCTAAACCTAACAAGGGTTTTTTACATGCACACTTGCTAGTTCTTTATTCTACGTTAGTTCTAGCTTCTATTCCCCTAGTTCTAGCTTGTATACCATCAGTTCTACCTTCTATTTTTCTAGTTCTAAACTCAACAAGGGTTTTTTACATGCACACTTGCTAGTTCTTTATTCTACGTTAGTTCTAGCTTCTATTCCCCTAGTTCTAGCTTGTATACCCACAGTTCTAGCTTCTATCTTGCTAGTTCTAAACCTAACAAGGGTTTTTTACATGCACACTTGCTAGTTCTTTATTCTACGTTAGTTCTAGCTTGTATACCCCCAGTTCTAGCTTGTATACCCCCAGTTCTAGCTTCTATCTTGTTAGTTCTAAACCCAACAAGGGTTTTTTACATGCACACTTGCTAATTCTTTATTCTACGTTAGTTCTAGCTTCTATTCCCCTAGTTCTAGCTTCTATCTTGCTAGTTCTAGCTAGTTCTAGCTCTAATTAATCTTAGTTCTAGGCTCTTGGGAACGGAAAAAAGCTCCTCCTACCTCCGACGGAGCCCATCGAGACACCCTGACGACCCCGACAACCTCCTCCCACCTCCGGTAAGCCCGGACAGCGGCGAAAATATCTGAACAACGAAGAACAAACCCGAACGGTGAGAAATTGCACTGCAGAAAACTATAGTTTTGTGCCGACTTCACACGCACTTTCTGATCGCCTCCAATCTCTATTTCCACTGATTTTTTCTTTGGTGAGTAACCCTACATGTTACCTATCACCTATAATTTGTATCACGCTCTAACTCATTCTCTATCTCTCTCGGTAACATTCGAAACATCGCTCGACGGCAGCAGCGAGCAGAAAACAGCAGCGCCGTGCCGACTTCGCGCGTGTTTTACGGCCATCTCCGGTCTCCGTTTTCACTACCGTCTGTGCCGGTGTGTAGCCCTTTATATTGTCTATCACACGGTATCTTCCTTTCTTTTTGGCTCATTTTCTACTTCTCGTTATATTGCTTCGAATATCGCTCGGCGGCACCGTGTCAATTTCATTCATAGAGATACATTAATACACATTTTCGTTCTTTCTTAATTACGACATTTGTCTTCATTCCCCTTCTACTATACTTCTCTTTGCCTTTCTTTTTTTTCTTTTTTTTCTTTTCTTCTTCTAGCTAATAGATTAATGCTCTGTGCGTCTCGGTCAGGACGACGAGCTTGAGAAAGCTCTTCGTTTTAGAGAGAGGTGAGAGAGAGAGGGATGAGAGAGAGAGAGAGAGAGAGAGAGAGCAGATGAGAGAGAGAGATGATGTGAGTGCTGGGTCAGAGAGATTGAGGAGAGAGGATAAGGATAGTTTGGGAATTTTAGCTTAGCTGGCATCACTAGTAGAAAAACTAGCAACCTAGACGGAACAAACTAGACGGAATTTTATTCCGTCTAGTTTGGGTCAAACTAGACGGAATTAAGTCCGTCTAGTTTGTTCCGTCTAGGTTGAAACAAACTAGACGGAAATTTCCGTCTCGTTTGTTAATCTAGACGGAAAAATCAATCTAGACGGAAGTTCCGTCTAGGTTGCCTCAACGTAGACGGCAATTTCCGTCTAGGTTAAAGGTCAACCTAGACGGAATTTCCGTCTAGGTTGACTAGTCAACCTAGACGGATATTCCATTCTAGCATTAGAGAGAAAATAAAAACTAGCTAATATCCTCACATAGAATACAATTCTTGAGTCTTGATATAGCTTGAGTTGGATGAAGCTTCTATATGAATTTGTTGTTCTTGAAATAACATTGCTTCATCATTATGCCTCCTCCTCCTTTAAATATCATCGTTGTAGCATATATTCCATCCATCCTCCATAGAAAAGAATGAAGCCGCGTCAACTCACAGGTACTGAGATCGTTCAATTACTTGAGGGGTTTCCAAAAGTTGTGTTTGGGAAAAAACGCTATTCTAAATTTAGCCCGCTCAGAGTAAGAGATTATTTAAAGTCAAAAAGGCCACTGAAGCGTAAGCGAAAGGTCCGGAAAATGCAAGTTGAGGAAGAAGACCAAAAATTACCTAGAGGATGGACTAAATTTAGTATCTTCTTTCAGCTACCTTATTGGCAAAATCTTAAAATCCGCCACAACTTAGATGTCATGCATATTGAGAAAAATATATGTGATAACATAGTATCAACTCTCCTACAAGATGCAAACAAGTCGAAGGATGATCTACGGGCGCGCCAAGATCTGACTGCTTTGAATATCCGAAATGATTTGCAAGCTCAAGATGTTGGACTTAAAAAATTAAAGTTGCCTCCGTCTCGTGTTACACTGACAAATGAGCAGATGCAACGATTTTGTGAAATTCTCAAATCAGTAAAGTCTCCGGATGGTTACTCTGCTAACATTTCAAATAATGTCCAAGTGCAAGAGCGAAAACTCTTAGGTCTGAAGACCCATGATTATCACGTTCTTCTCCATCAATTGCTTCCTGTTGCAATCCGTAACAATATGGATAAAGAAGCGTCGAAGATTATTATTGAGTATTGTGGGTTTTTCAGAAAATTATGCTCTAAAGTCATAGATGTAGATGAATTTAAAAAACTTGAAGCTGAGGTCCGAGTTACTCTATGCAATATGGAAGTAATATTCCCTCCTTCTTTTTTTACGGTTATGGTCCATCTTACCCAGCATCTTGCAAGAGAGGCTAGAATCGCCGGACCTGTTACTTATCGTTGGATGTATCCGATTGAGAGGTAAATTATATTTTTTTTTGCATTCATTACTTGTATATGCGTTTTTGAAATTACCGTGCTAATAATTAGTTATTTTGATTCTAAGATACTTGGGCTCCATGAAACATAATGTTCGCAATCGAGCTCGTCCAGAAGGCTCGATAGCTGAAGGATACGTGGCAAATGAATGCTTTATTTTTGCATCACGTTACATGCGCCAGAAGAAAACCACGGCTCAAGTACCAGATAAGGAGAGAAAGCGTGAAAAATATCCGAGATCTCTCTTAGAACAAATTCATGCATATGTGCTGGAAAACCTTGATATGTTCGCAGACTATCGAAGGTAACAAATAACACCCGAAATATAGATGAGACTATTCATTTTACATAATGTTCGCAATGCAAACTTATATATTGTTTATGTAGGCGACATTTGGAGAAGCTTAAGAATGAAACAACCGGTAGGAATGCAGCGCATAATATTCAGAAAAGACATAGGAAAGAATTTTCTGATTGGTTAAGATTTGATGTAAGTATTTAACAATTAATTTATGAACATTCATAATATAACATCCCCTAAATATTCTGAAATTTTTTGTCTTAGGTTGATAAATCACTTCTTGATGGTACTACGTTACCAGATGAAATTATTATACATGCACAACGCCCTTATTATGAAGTGAGACGTTATAATGAGCATTTGATCAATGGATATAAATTTCGAACGCTAGAGACTGATGATAGGAGGGTAACTCAGAACAGTGGGGTCATGGGCTTGTTTGCTCAAGAATGTTTTTCAAGTACAAGAGATCAGAACCCAATTCTAGCTGACATACTATATTATGGCCAATTAGAAGATATTGTTGAAGTAATTTACGGGTTTGGTAAACCAAAACAATGTACTTACACGATGTTCAAGGTTCGGTGGTGTCCTGCAAAAAAGCAAAAGGATCATTATGGATTTACACTTGTCAATCTCCATCGAGAAGTATATACGGATGAGAAATTCATTTTTGCAGAACAAGCTGATCAGTGCTTCTTCGTGAGAGATCCGAATGTCATATCTGATTGGGTGGTTTTGTACAAGGAGCCAAGATCTGTTGTTCTACCTAATAACAATGAAAAAAATATTGAAGAAAGTGAATATAATTATAGTGAACCAATTGGTTCATCTGATGATGTTTGGCAAGAATTCTCTTACGCACAGAATGTGGCGTTGGATGTAGGTATGTAATATATATGTTACACTGCATTAAAGTTTTTTAGCTAATCATAATAAGAACAATGCATTTCATAATAACTTATCTCATGAGCATGTATATTTTTTTTCTTAACTATGTTAATAATTGAAATTGCAGATGAGGAGGATGAGGAGACTCTTTGACCTCGAGGGTGATCGATCACGTAGTATCACCCCTGGTAGTGGTGCTGATGATACACTACCATCTCCGGATGCAGGTATAAAAATTAATTAATACTTTAATATATTTTATCAATTATTAATTATCTAGCTAATAGTGATTAATTTGTTGCAGATGCGGGTTATTCATCACCTGGCCCCTCTGATGCAGTACCAGAACCATCCCCTGATGCAGGTATTCAATATTATAATGCTCAATTATAATGGTTAATTAAAAACTATATTAATGATTCTCCTTTCTTATGTAGGGGATACTTGGACACCGACATATCCATCTTATACATTCCACACGGACTTGCGGCCAAAGACACAGGACTATCTTAGTTTACCTTTACCTCCAGCCTCTCATAAGTCTATGGCTGACGCAAGGAAGTACCATACACGTGCTGCGAGAAAATTAGAAGAAATGCGTGAAATGATTGAGACACGAAAGAAGGTTGCACTCGCAGCAAAGGAAAGAGAGATAGCGAATGGTAAATTGTATAAATACTTTTAATTTTCACATTTGTATATTATATGATATATTATCATGTTATTATTGTAGGTGCTAAGAAGGATCGTATCGAGAACAGACGTGGCGGAGGTAAGCCTGATTCCAAACAACCGCCAAGAGGAATGAGGGCAATAATTCGGTGGAATAGTTCTAATTTGCCCGTTGGTCCATGGTCGACCCGCTTGAATGCATATATTGGGGTTCTAGTGCGTAGAGCGACCATTATCAACCCTTATTTTCAATTTCGAGAACTACCATGGAGCGCATACGAGGCGATATGGACAGCGCTTATGGTAACTACATATTGCTATTACTTTTTATTTATTAATAATTAGTATTTGATATTAAATTATCTTTCCTAAATGTGTATGTAAATCTACAGGACTGCTTCTGCCTTGAGGACTTTGAGGGGGCTTGGAATTATGTGTTCAATGTTAAGGTTGAAGTAGTTCTCAAACAATGGAGGCATGAGATCAAACATGAAACCTATGACAGGTATGAGGAGGACTGGCAGAGGTTTTTAAACCTCGACGCCCGAGTTGACGAGGTTCATTTCACAGCTCTCCTCATGTATTGGGACAGCGATGCCTCCAAGGTTAGTTTCATGAAAATTACTTTATACTTTTAAGATATTAATTTATTGCATATTTGCTAATTTTTTTCTTTTAAAAAAGAATAAATCCACGAAGGGGTCAGAAAATAGAAGAAAGAAGCTGCATGACCACCACTTGGGCTCACACTCCTATGCCAATCTGGAGGATGTTTATTGTCAGGATACGGTAGATTTCCGTCTAAAGTTTTGATGAATTTAATGATTAGTATGATTATGAGTGTGATAATATATAATATGACAGGGAAAATCATTAATGCCAATACACTTGAGGGCGAAAGCGGCGTATGGCATTTTCCGTGATAGATATAGGGGTGATGAGAAGAATCGAGATAAGATCAAGGCAAATCTCGAGTTGGTGGTGAGAGTTATACATATCTTGTGTAGTATTATTAATTCTATTTTGTTGTTAATATTATGAGGAAATGAGAACACAAATAACATTGTCTTTACCATGAAATAATTATATATTTGTGCTTTAGGAGGGATTTGAGGCTGCATCAAAGGAGGCTGCAACTGTGTATATGTCGCAGCAGGAGGAACAATCTGAGCCGGACCCTCACATGCTTTCTGCAGAGGACAACATTACTCTCACACAGCATTTGATGGGTCATAATAGGTATGGATGTAGAAAATTTGAATCAATTTGAATACTACATTCCTATTTATATTTTTTTATCATTATTGAATTCGAGAGGTAAATTTAATATTTATTTCTCCCTAAACATAGGAGAGGGAGATATCCTCTGCATGGTGTTGGAGCTTCACCCGGCGTAAGCATGAGGTCATCCACAGCATCCTCCACACCATTTACATCCATGAGAGCAGCCCCGCCTCGGTTCCAGGCTATGCCATTTGTCGCACGTATCTCTGCATATTTGCTTGACAAGATTGACTCGGAGCTACATATCCAGGTGACTAATGAGATGACAAAAGTTGCGCTGACGGCGAACTCGATGGATGATCTCCTGGGGTATGTCATGCAATATTTAAGCGGTGCGATTCCTCATAGCGCGTATGGTGGTGTTATACGGATTATAAGCTCGCTTGGCGATAATTCCGGTGCTGGTCAGAGCAACACTCAGGTACCTTTTTTTTCCTTAAAATAATAAATTCATTTATATTTAATATGTATTAAACACCCCTTAATGATTATTCAATTGACCATTCAGAGTGGAGATATTGGAGGGAGCAGCACACGTTCTCGTAACCGGGATAGAGATACTGCCGACGACGACGACTGATGAGGTTTATGAGGTTTTTTGTACATTTTTAATGCAATGAACAGCTTTATCTGTTATAACAATACTTATATGCTTGTTGGATGTATATATTAGACGGTCTTGGTTGATGCATATTTTGAAGTAGATAGTTGGATTTGTTTATTATGCTGGAATTGATTATATTATGGCTGGATCTGTGCATTATGTTGGATTTGAATATTTTTGGGTTTGAATGGAATTGTCTAAAATCTTGATTATATTTGGATGGTTGGATGTATTCATATATACAGTATTTATTGTATGTATTCATGTATTGGTGTAATTGTACAGGGAAATACAAATTGTAATATATTTTTTTTGCTGGAAAAAGAGCAATCTAGACGGAATTCCGTCTAGTATGAATCAAACTAGACGGAAATTCCGTCTAGGTTGTAATAATCAACCTAGACGGATTTCCGTCTAGGTTGATTCATCATAGACGGAATTCCGTCTAGGATCAACCTAGACGGAATTCCGTCTAGGTTGACAACCTAGACGGATTTCCGTCTAGGTTGTGAACCTAGACGGTTTCCCGTCTAGGTTGTTAACGTAGACGGATTTCCGTCTAGGTTAACAATCTAGACGGAAATATAACTTCCGTCTAGGTTGGTTTCCGTCTAGATTGATCAATTTAGACGGAAATCCGTCTAGTTTGATCCAAACTAGACGGTAACAGAATAAACCAATCTACCTAGACGGATTTCCGTCTAGATGACCCAACCTAGACGGATTGTAGACCAACCTAGACGGAAATTTCCGTCTAGGTTGGTCGTTTTTCTACTAGTGCATGTGATAATTGATAAAAAGGGGCTGCAGTACAAAGTGTCATACTTCAAGGGGCTGATCCACATGGGGAAAATTATGAGGGGCCTTGTCACATGAAGTTTCTGCTTTTAGGGACTGGACACATTTTTTCCAAAAAACATTTTACAAAGTTTTACAATTTTCAGAAGTTAAATAAATATTTTACAAATTGTTTAAGTGTGTCAAAATCAGTGTTTTTGGAATGTATCAGAATGCGGTCAATCGGACCGGTCGACCGCACCTATGATCATTCGTCAGTGGGCAGCAGAGAGTTTGTCGGTCGACCGGTGCGGTCGACCGAGAGTTCGATATGTTCTTCGATCGACCGCATCAGTCGACCGAAGATGTGTCTGCTTGTTTACCCGGGCTCGGATCTGCATCGCGGTCGACCGAAAATTTCGTCGGTCGACCGCCAAGTTTTTTAAAACTGTAACTTTCATCCTTTTTTCGGTGCCGCTCAGTACAGATTTGAGCGACGCTTGTTTCCAGATTTTTGGGGATTAAGGGTATGGGTTTAAACAGCTATTTTCAAAAACTGGGACACTGAGGAAGAAGAAGAGGTTGAGTTTAAATAGGTGAAAACTTGCTCACATCATATGACGGGCAACAAAGAGTTATTTGCAACCCTATCAAGGATTGAAGGAGGCAACGTCTCCTTCGGTGGTGGTGAGAAAGGTAAAATCGTTGGTATTGGTTCTATTGGTAAGAAACCTTCACCCGTTATAGAAGATGTTTATTTGGTAAATGGTTTGAATCATAATCTTCTTAGCATTAGCCAATTGAGTGATAAAGGTTTTGATATTTCTTTTAAACCAGACAAATGCATCATTAGTATGAATGAAAAAATTGTTTTTATTGCTAATCGCAAATCTAATGTATACTTTTTTGAGATGAATGAACTAGTGAATCAAGATGTGAAGTGTCTTGCGGCAATTGATGAAAACCATTGGATTTGGCATAAGAAACTTGGACACGTAAATATGGAATTGATATCAAAATTGTCTAAGAGAAATCTTGTAAAAGAGTTACCTAGATTGCACTTCATCAAGGATAGTACATGTGAGGATTGTGCCAAAGGTAAACAAACAAAATCTTCCTTCAAATT